CTTCACATGCGTGAGTAGAAAATCGTGCGCACAATGCAGAAGGTTGAGTTTTTTTTTTTTTTTTTTTGTCTTTAAAGGTTGGAGGGGTCACATCCGGTACTTATCAACCAACAACTTGATTTGGGCCTTTCATTTATTTCAAAATATCCTGGTGTTCATTTAAAATTAATTTTTAAGTATTTTTAAAATTATATTTATCAAAATCAAAGTTTATACGTTTTTTTTTAAATTTAATAGTAAATATGGATTGTTAGTGCACCTGATAATCAATTTATAAAAGTATAAAAATTTTACTATTAAAAATAAATATAGATTATACTAATTTGAAAAGTTTGTAGTATGTTGAACTTTACCAGAAAATGTTATAATTCATAAATTCCTTCATGGCTGATGAATTTTAAGCCAAAAACCCTTACAACGTAGCTGTTTAAGGGATTACGTAGCTTTAGTAGCTCTTAAATAATTTTAAAAAGTAAAAAAAAAAATTCTGTTTTCAAAACAGGTAGCTGATAAGATTTATTGTCCATGCAGCAAGTGTAATAACAACTTGTTACTTTTCAAGAGAGTAAAATACAATAACCTACATTCCATTTTGTTAAAATCATAGAAGCCTTCTTCTTATTTTCAAAACCTATATTTTAGTTCAATCATTGGCATTGTTAAGAATATTTCGTAAAATATTTTAAAATACATAATTTATTATGATAATTATTAATTTGTCCTTATGATATAGTTGTCTGCCCTCTGTCCCAATTTTAAAAAAAATTAACTAATTAAGATTGTCAAATTTTTAAATAAATAATTTAACGTCAACGCTTGTATGCCAAAAACAAAAACAATAAAAAATATCGTGTTAAAATCAATGAAGTTAAAAAACAAAAATTATATCAAGTAATTTATTATATTAAATTCTGTTTCACAATTTTTTTCATGAAAAAATATGTTAAATTTTTTGAACTGCATGTTTGAATATTATTTTAGCCAATTCATATATTTATTTCTTTAAAAGTTACTGAATAAATAAAATTTACATAATGTAATATTTAAATATAAATGAAAAAATAAAAATTATATGTGCATTAATTTTTTTGGTACTTTGAATGATTTTTAGACAATATATATTTAAAGAGTGATATTTTAATCAAACATACATAATTCAATAGTCAAGTATTGATGGAATGGACGAAGATAAAATATTAAAAATAGAGGGGACATTCATATTTTATAAACAGTCATACCAAAAAATATTTATATATGTTTGAAAAATAGAAGGAAAGTAAATTTAATTAAAATAAAATAAATTGGAGGTTGGAGTATTTTACTCTTTTTATAATTTTCTACCCATGAACATGATAAAAATACAATCATCTTGTGTTTTAGTGAAAAAAAAAATTCATTTAATTTTTACAATTTTAATTTAGTTATAATTTAATATTTAAACTTGAATTTAATGCAACTCGCTTCTTATAATTTTTAACAATCAATTTGCTGAAAAGGGGACAGGGTGATGGTTTTGGGCAGGAGAGGCAAACACATACAATGGGCAAGAGAAGCTCGAAAAGGAAGAACTTCAGCCAAGATGATTAGAGAAAGGGGGAGAGAAATATATATTAATGGGGTAAAGAATGAAAATGTAATTTTACTGCATAACCACTATTAAATTATAGTCAAGATTCAGCCAAAATGAGTAAAAAAGAGAAAGAAATGTAAAACACCAGAACAAATGATAGATTTGCAATTTTACTGAATAACCATTGTTAAGGCTACCTCAACCATAGAAAGAGATGTAGAATAGTTGGATAGATAATAGATTGTAATCTTACCAAATATTTATATGTATAATTACAAATTATATCCTCACCTGCTTATGCAAATGTGGGTTTTTGTGCTGGGGAAATGACAAGGAAGGACTCCATAAAAGGATTAATTGCAACTTAGAATTTTTTTCATAGCTAAGCTTCTTAAATTACATTAGAAGTATTTGATTTGATATTACTTTTTTTTATGAGGTCTTTACTTATTATTTTCCCTTTCGTGCTTTGGAAAGAAGGAAGCGGATGGAGAAGAGTGGATATCAGCCAGCTTTCCAGCCCCCTTCATTGCGACTACAAGTAAACTTTGTGGCTTTTTGTGAGTTTTAGTGGTTTTTTTTTTTTGAGCAAAGGAGAATTTATTAAAAACCACAAAGGTTAGTCCATACAAACATAAGGCCCATCTAAAGCACAAATGGGCTCACAAGAACAAACACAGCGGCATAAAACATAAAAACGTAAAAGAGCCACATCATTACAAAATAATCTAACAAAATATAAAATATTGTTGTACTGTAATAAGAACGGTGTTTTAACTGTGTAAAGAATAATAATTTCAATGGAATTTAGAAAAAAAAAGGTCAGATTTTTTTAAATACAAAACGTTTAAATTCAAATTCTGTTTGACATAAAAATTCAAGTCTTGTTTAAATAGTGTTGACCGACCTATCACTCAGCCCAATCACCTGTACTGTCATTATTACTGTGTAAAATGAAAGTAAAAGAACCCGTAAATAATATAACGAAAAGACTCCCTTTCGAGACAGACACAAGTTAGGCTTGGCCCAATGAATTAGACCCAACCCATTTCGATCCAGCCTGGCCCAATCTTTGCTCTGAAACCAAAATTTATGCTGAATAAATTATTCCATTAAAGGATTTTACAACACACAATCCTCTGCTTTTCCGTTGTGCATTTCAGTGATTCCGCCTTGTTTACTTACAAACGAGAGCATTATTTATTTGATTTTAAATCTTATGTGTTATTGAGTAGGGTTGCTATATATTAGTGGGTTACACTGGGTTCAGAAAGTAAAGAGAGAAATAATATTCCTGCAACTACTCTCATACGAAAAATTATTAACCTAGAGCAACAACCTCGAATTAATCAGCCCTTAACTATGGTAATAAATAAATCAAACCCCAAATTATGGGGAGAAGCTTTAAGGGAGCACAACAACTTTCTCTACATCTAACACAATGAGACATCCTTTACAATACAAGATACATGATCACTAACAATCGTTGGCCGAAAAAATGATTACTAACAATCTTAGGTAATTAATTCCAATAACGAACTAACTGTGTGCATCACTGTTTCTTTGTTCCTTTCATTTTTCAAGATTTTGCTGCGTTTGAGGAATGTTTCCAATATTCGGCCAAACACATACGAGATGGGCAAGTTTTCGAAATTAGTTTCTGCACGACGACTTGAAAACCCTGGCACAGGACCAATTGATCACTTTTGGAGTGACCCTTGCCTTCGGCTTCAATTCCGCAGAAAAGTAATGGATAAATATGGATCACGTCACTGTTTTGATGTTGTTGACATGTCCCGTTATGTTATAGTGAATGGAACAGTGCTGTGAACTCGTGAATGCGTGGGGACTCTTGAAATAATAACGGTGTGAACGAATTGAAATGCACGAAAAGAGAAACAGCAGCCATGGATTTCCCTCGGGTTTTTTTATAAAGATTTTTATGGAAATATAAATAGACATGAAAATGTAAATGGATATGAAAATAAATAGAATCATGATATTATTTTTATTTAAAATATATATTTATAATGTCAAAATATCAAAATATCCTTACTTTAAAAAACAAACCCAGATCAACATCCACTTTCAACACTGAAAACCACCATCGGACTCATTGCAGAAATCATCACCCACCTTTATCATCTATGATCTAACCCATCGGAACTACTCCAGACCAAAGACCTCTACATTCAAATTAGCAAACCCATGTCAACAACTACCTTCATCATCTAACCAAAGACCTCTCCAGGTTGAAGAAGCCATGGGTTGATCTTCATTTTTCGAGCTTCAAATATCAGATCTACATTTTAATATCAAAATCAAGATGGGAGCCAAAAACAGTATCATAAAATGGAACATGGAAGCCTCGGAAGTAGGCCAATAAAAGACAAAAGACAAAAGACAAAGCGGGACTCGTGTTTCATCACAGAAAGTACGAGAGATTCCTCGGGAATTAGTTAAATGACAGGTTAAAAGATCATCAACTTGCATATATTTTCAATTAATTTATTAAATAAAAGAGTAATTAATGACTCCCTTAAATGTTGCGAGATGCTTGATGATTGCAGAGTAGACCTTATGTGCTGCAAATTTGAAGGCGGATAATCGGCAAGCAGTGATTGAGACAGAAGCAAAGCAAGATTAGAAAAATGAAGGAAGGAAGGAAGGAAGGGTCCGTCCGAAAACCCGTGACCGACCGCATGTCGTGCAACACCTACGTGAGGACAAACAACTCTCGATTGGCGTCCATTTTTATTTATCTTCTCCTTCCTCACGAGACAACCTTCCAATCCTGACGTTTCTTTCACTGCTTGTCCACTTTTTCCCTCTCAATCCCTTCCCCTCCCCCCTTCAATCATTCCGTCTCACCAATTAAAACCCTCTCATTAATTGAACAGAAACCATGTTCAAATAAGTCCTGTTATTTGAGTTCATACAATGATTTGCTTTTGCAACTCTTTGGACGTACAATTGGTCCACGTAGATGCCAGCTCATCTCATCGCACATCCTAATTCCTAACTATATCTACCTCTCCACTTCAATAATTTCAAGGTTCATTTAGTAATTCCACTCTTGTCTTCTATTATACACTCACACGCCTTCAGCCAGGCAAAGCTCACAACCACGCCGCCGACGCTCCTCGGTGAGTCACGACTCACTGCTGAGTTCCCACTAAATCATTTATACTATTTTACAAATTGAAGCTGAACTATAGCGTTGGTAATATATATATATATATAGTATAACTTGCTTTGCACACTGTCTGCGTCCAACCTGTACTTTTTGACCCGAAGGTAATTGCTCCAATCTCGTCTCATATTGTTACGCAATACTAATACTTGTATCTGCCCCTACTTTAATAATTCCAAGGTTACTTTAGTAACTTCAGCCCCTCCAATCTTCTCTTCGCGACTTATATATATACATAATATGCACGCACCATCCAGCCATGCAAAGCTCGCAACCATCCACCATATGCTTTTCAGACCTCAGTGAGCCAGGACTCACTTCCGACTGAACCATGGGCGTCATTGTCAAGTTCATCGCAACCTTAAGTCTTCTCTGTGCAATATATCTATCTTCCTCCGTCGCCGTTGACCCTTGTGCTTCAAAGCCCGACGACTCCGGCCTTACCGTCATACCCATTTATGGCAAGTGCTCACCCTTCAACCTGCCCAAAACAGAATCCTGGGTCAACACCATCATGAACATGGCCACTAAGGATCCGGAGCGAGTCAAGTACTTGTCCACCCTCGTTGCTCAAAAGTCCGTCTCCTCCATCCCCATTGCTTCCGGTCAGAACTTCAACATCGGCAACTACGTCGTCCGGGTCAAAATCGGATCTCCAGCACAACTCATGTTCATGGTCCTCGACACCAGCAGCAATGAGGCCTGGGTCCCATGCTCCGGATGCACCGGTTGCTCCGCCACCACATTCTCCCCCAACGCTTCTACCAGCTACGGGTCGTTGGATTGCTCCGACCCCCAGTGCAGCTCGGTCCGTGGGCTGTCCTGCCTCAGTACCGGATCCACTTCGTGCTCCTTCAACCAATCCTACGCGGACTCATCGTTCTCGGCCACGCTCGTGCATGATTCGCTCACGTTAGCCGAAAAGGTCATAACGAATTATGCTTTCGGCTGCATCAACGCCATTGCCGGCGGTTCAATTCCAGCCCAAGGTTTATTGGGGTTAGGCCGCGGGCCTCTCTCACTGCTTTCCCAAACCGGATATCTTTACTCGGGCGTGTTCTCCTACTGCCTTCCCAGTTTCAAGTCCTACTACTTCTCCGGGTCACTCAAACTGGGACCCGTGGGTCAACCCAGGAGCATCCGAACCACCCCTCTTCTGCAAAACCCCCACCGGCCGTCTCTGTACTACGTGAACCTTACGGGGGTCAGCGTCGGGCGCGTGTGGGTCCCTTTTCCCACTGAGCTTCTGGCGTTTAACCCGTACACCGGATCGGGAACCATAATAGATTCGGGCACTGTCATAACCCGATTCGTTGAGCCAGCGTACAATGCAATCAGGGATGAGTTTAGGAAGCAGGTGAAAGGTCCGTTTTCGAGCTTGGGGGCATTTGAAACCTGCTTCGTTAAGACGTACGAGACCCTGGCTCCGGCTATCACAATGCATTTCACAGGTCTGGATTTGACTCTGCCGATGGAGAACAGTCTGATACACAGCAGTTCAGGTTCACTAGCTTGCTTGGCCATGGCGGCAGCACCCAACAACGTTAACTCCGTGTTGAATGTGATTGCCAATTACCAGCAGCAGAACGTTAGGCTTTTGTTCGACACGGTGAGCAACAGGGTTGGCATAGCTCGAGAGCTATGCAACTAGGCTTTTGTTTTGTGTTGTTTGTGGGTAAACGGCCTTTATGTTTTGTTTCGAACCCGTCTTTTTGTGTCAGCGAATAAGCACTGTGGCTTTGGAAGATATATGATGTAACATCTCTGTTGATGATGATCGTTACCACAAAGGGGAGCGATTATTGTAATGATGGATCAAGTGTAATACCAATATCAATGGCTAGAAAAGCAAGAGCATAAAATTTCTTGTTGGTGGATGTCTTCGTGAAGATGCTTTGGCAATCAACTACCGAAACAGAGAAAAATAATACAGTGAAGCAAACTATTTATCTCATAATCATTTAAATTATCTTAAGATTTGAAATTTTATATATTACGATAAAAATGTTACCTGGACACGGGTTTCATGTAAGCCATATATCCCCATGTGGCTTGTGAGAACAATTTTTATTTCATTGTACACAATGAGAGAAATTTTTGAAGCTAGCTAGTAGGGGTTAGTATCCCTCAAAATGTGTAAAATTAATAGATCAGATAACACTAAAAATATGAAATGAATCGAATTGAATGAGAATTGAATTAAAACTAGATAATTCAGCTCAGTCGGTTAATTTGGTGTTGGGCCGTTTGGATTTGAACCAATTTTATTATTTTTTTTCTACTACAATAGGCAAAATTTATATATAAAATTAAGCTTGTAAAATGATCATAGTTCATTTTAATGAGGGGTTAGAATTTCTGACTTATCAAATTATACATTTACTTTTATTTAACTATAAAATTTAAGAAAAATTAATAAACTAAATATAATTTATATATATACTTGGTTTAGTTTATTTAATTTTAAATTTTATTAATCGAATTAAATCAGTCAACCAAAATATTTTTTTTAAAAGCAAATCTAAACTAAAAAATTAAATAAACTAAATTAAATAATAAAAATTAATTCGACTTGATTTTGTTCAACTGTACTAGCTAGCATATCAAAGGTAATTTAACAGTTTTTGATAGACACAAGAGAGTATAGAATATATATAGAAGCTGCAAAATAGATTGGTTGTAACTATGTGTAAATATATATTTATCATTGCTTTAAGAGAGACATTTAGCACTCTATTCTTAATCTTGTCCCAAAAAAAACCCATAAAAATAAAAGCTGCTTGTTTTGTGAGGTAGTTTTTATACATAAATCACCATTAAAATCAGATTTAAACTTAATAATTATACTTAATAAAGATATTAAGTATCTGTATAATTTAAATTATTGAAATTTAAATCAATAATTTTAAATTTATAACTTAATTCAGACTGTTGAATAAATAAATTTATCTGAATTAATAATATAAATTTCAATATGCAGTATAACAACTGAATCCAAATCGTACTAAAGCCCGCCTTACTTCCTTGCTTAGCAATGTCATCGTTGTAGTACTCGTCTTCAACTCGTGGACTCCTTCAACATTAATCTTGTACGAACAGCATGCAGGTACACGGCCAGTTTCCCAGAGAACGAACATGCAATCATATCTCCCCGGCATCACCAAAGATTAAAAAAAGAGGGAAAAACTGAAAACATAATATAGAAAGAATTGCTGAACACACAGCCCACAAACTACAGCCAAAAAAATAAAAAATAAAAAGGCGTACCCCCTTCCTTACTTGATCATAGTTGATTGCCAGGACCGCCTTAATTTGCTCTCAGAACATCGAATCTCCTTCCCCCCTTCCCCCCTCACAGTGCCTATCACTATCGTCTATCCCCACCACTGGTGCACTGCCACACCTTCGTCTCTCAACTTGCCGTACAATGCCAAGCACTCCCAGTAAGCCCTTCGGCTTTTGCTCTCACCTCTCTTCCCTAACTGTGGCTGGCATACCAAGAATAGCTCATCCACTAACATTATCGCCTTGCTCCTCACCATCTCTTCCACTACTTCTGCCTCTGCTTTCATCACTACGTACTCTTCCTCCTTCACATTCTTCCTCACCCAATCCGACATCCCAATCCGGGGCACTTCGCTCCCCGACGAGTCCCCTGTTACTGTCTCTATTTTGTACATCTCAAAATCCTTGTTTCTTGTCGGATAATTTGTCGAAAACCAGTCGCTCTTGCTACCTCCGTCTTTCTCCGGCGACCCTACGTCGATGAAAACCCGGCGAGGGTAGCTCTCCAGAGAGTCTTCCATCAAATCCGGAAGATACCTTGTGCGTTTCAAATACCGTCTGGACTTCTTCGATGCCGATCGCGGAGGCTCCAGGAGAACGTCTTCGAGTTTCAGCAACGCAGCTTTCTTCGCCTCTGAAGGATGCCCGGAGAGCAATTTTCTCTGATCGTGGAGTTTTGTTCCAGCGACGCTAGTTTTCCACATAGCCACCGCAATCAAGTCGAACCGCCGCATATACGCGATTTTGTAATTGGGAGGCTTGCAGAATGCGGCCGAGGGACTGTCATTCAGAAGAACGGTGACAACCCCACCTGTTTTCAGAGTCCGGTCGATGAATCTCGAAGCTGCTTGGAAATTAAAGGTGAGGATGAAATCAACTGTTCCGTCAAGAACAGAGCTCTGTTTCTCTGAATCGTGGAGAGCAATGAGGTCGATGTTGTAATCGGCGAGACTCTGAGCCCCAGCGAGGTTTTCCTCAATTTCATTGCTGAGGAAAACTGATCTCCTAGATTCCCTCTTCACGAGACCTTCATTGGTCAGGTCGCGGAAGAACAGAGAGAGAAGCTGATCGAGGTTGACCGAATCAGAAGCGGAGGGAACAGATTGCTCGTGACCGGTGATGGAGGAAGAAGAGTGTTTATCATTACCGAATGAACTGACGTACGTGAATGAAACCAGAAGGAAGGCCAGCATGATGAGGCGACACAAGACCTTCATGATTTCGTAGTTCGAAAGTGTGGTGATCGTCAAATAACAAGGTTTGGATCGGAAAGGGAAGGTAGAAGCGAGGGCGATGCCCATGTCAGAGGACCGAGCCTTTTACAACAAATGAGAAAGGAAACAAGTAAATCGCTAGGAACAAAAAGCGTGGCGGGCAAAAGAAACCGCATGTAGAAAGAAAAGGAGAGAAAGAGACGATGATGAAGAAGACAGAGGAATGAATTAGCGAGTGCAAAATCGAGAGGCCGTGTGATTTCCACCCACAAGGGCCACACGAGTAGATTGCAGAGTAGACCAAAGAGACAACAGCTCTCTCAACCGTTGAGCCTCCATTTCTGGAATTGAGAACCCAGATCGATGAAGATGGCCTCTGCCTAACGTGGCATATTCATGATGGCTCGTGAGTGGGTGGAACCCAAGGTCACCGATCATAAATGCATGGAGGGAGGGAAGAGAGAGATCTGTGCTACCCTGGGAGCAGACTATTTAACTGTTGTTGGGAGGGATGAGAGAAAAAATGGTGGTATGCGCAGTGGATTCTAAGTCTGGGATTTTATATGTATGAAAGAGTCATGGAGTGCACCGAGTCTAGATTTTGAGCTCGATTCAAAAGAAATGGTTGGTGACACGACATTTAAGTTAGACCATCCATGTACTCTTCCTTTGGCACACCCTATGTTCTCGCTCGTTCGGTGGTGCATGCATGTTTGGGTTGGTTTTTGCTTCCGGGAAAGAAAATTTGCCGCGAAATTTCCTGTTTTTACAGTGAACCAATGTTTCATCCTACTGGCTTTTCTGCCTTTTCACGCGGCAGAGGGTTCTTAGCTTTTGACTAATTTTGGATTTGTCTCCTCATTAGGCCATTTCAATCTTATAGTCATTTTTAACTGCAGTAACGTCGTGCCCTGTACTGTGGAACCAGCTTACTATAATTAATTATAACTTGCTGATCGTAATGCAGGGAAAATATACCAATTATGGGCCTTGGGCCTTCCTCGCATGCAAAAAGTTGGGCCCTAAGCCTCATAATCATTGAAGCATTATACTATACTTTTTTTTTTTAATTTGAATTTAGAAAGGCAAGCAAAAGCTTCATTATTAAGAGGGGACTGATTAGTGAGATTGTCCCCTATCATGCTCATGTTGAGCAGCACATTAAGGAAGAATAGAATCAAAAACGCTAATAACATTAGTAGCTCTCTGATCTCCAGGGGCGCAGCAGGAGATAATCCTTTTTATAATGATGTCGTGGAAGTGCAAGAACAACCAGACTTGGAGCTGCATCATGTTCCCCGTGAAATTAATTTATGTGCAGATTACATGCCTCGCCTGGCACTGGATGGCCCAAGTCATCTCTCCCTCCTTTATGGAGTTTCGAGTGGTTGTATAAATTTACTTTTGCATGACCAAGACAGAGGTGCAGAATACCCTGGCTGGTCAGGTTTAATTTCGTTGTATTTTTGTTTTCCTCACTTTGCCTAGCTCTTAATTAGCCCTTTCCAATCCCAAAAAAAAAAAGAAAAAAACATTAGTAGCTCTATGCAAGCACTTTTGGCTATAAAAACCGCGAAGCACATTGCTTGAAGCATTATATACTATATTCAGTTTTATAATTTTTTTAAAAATCTTAATTATATAAAAATTGCTAGAAAAAAGAAAAAAGAAAATCAATTTGGTGAGAGAGTAGTAACCAGCAAGGAGCGCGTGGACTCAGCAGGCGGCTCCCTAATCAGGTTCCAAGATGGCTCCTCAATTTGGTGCTTGCCTTTCCAACTGTGAGATTTTTCAATTCCATTTGACAACCCCAAGCATTCATTAATTTTCCGCTTTCAATTGACTTTCTCTTTTGTTACTCTTAATTTATCTCATATTTAATTAATTCCAAAATTATTCAAGAAGTCTAGAACGAAGGAAGCAAAAAAAAAAAAAAAAAAAAACAAAGAACGAACGAAGAGGGGCAGATTGATTCGATTCTCTGGTCTGATCCTATTATTATTTTGTAACGACTTACACATATAACTGTCCTAAGAAGTGGGAGAACACAAAACACTACATCTAGCGAATGAATCAACGAGAGACGACAAAGTCATTCTTTTCAACGCAGTTAATGAATGAGGGTGGACGGCGTTCAACAACGAAGCTGCACCAGCTAGAACCAGGCCACTCAATTCCATCCTTATATAAACGCTCCCATCTCTTCCTTCTTCCCTCACCACTCCACAACTCCCAAATCTCTACTTCTTCGCCCCTACTTCTCATTCTTCTCTTCATACAAATTTCAAATTGTGAAATGGGTGTTAAGAGTTTTGTTGAGGGTGGTATCGCGTCCATAGTTGCTGGGTGCAGCACTCATCCGCTTGATCTGATCAAGTTTCGGATGCAGCTTCAGGGTGAGCAACTCTCTGCTTCCATCAACTCCCACCACGTTCAGAATCTTCGTCCCACTTTGGCCGTTCCCATGCAGTCTCCTCCAATGGATGTTTCTTCTTCACTTGGCATGGCGGCTCCTCGTGCTAGAGCTGGACCCATATCGGATGGTGTGCAGATTCTTCGCTCTGAAGGTGTTTCTGCTCTGTTTTCCGGCGTCTCCGCCACCATGCTCCGTCAAACACTCTATTCCACCACTCGTATGGGTCTTTACGATGTGCTCAAGCAAAAATGGACCGACCCAGATAAGGGAAACATATCCGTTGGCCGAAAGATTGTGGCTGGGCTTATTGCCGGCGGGGTTGGTGCGGCCGTAGGAAACCCTGCCGATATGGCAATGGTCCGTATGCAAGCTGACGGTCGGCTCCCGGTGGTTCAGCAGCGCAATTATAACAGCGTGTTCGACGCGATCAAGCGCATGTCGAAGGAGGAAGGAGTGGCCAGCTTGTGGCACGGCTCGGCGCTGACGGTAAACAGAGCCATGATCGTGACGGCTTCGCAGTTGGCGTCGTACGAACAGTTCAAGGAGATGATTGTGGCGAAGGGGTTGATGAAGGACGGGCTTGGGACCCACGTAACGGCTAGTTTTGCTGCGGGGTTTGTGGCGGCGCTAGCTTCGAATCCGGTGGATGTGATAAAGACCAGGGTGATGAACATGAAGGTGGAGCCAGGGGCGGCGCCACCGTACATGGGAGCCTTAGATTGTGTTCTTAAGACAGTGAAGGCTGAAGGGCCTATGGCCCTTTACAAGGGATTTATCCCTACGATTTCAAGGCAGGGACCTTTTACAGTGGTGTTATTTGTGACGCTTGAACAAGTCAGGAAACTACTCAGGAATTTTGATCGAGAGTAGGGCCGCAGCGTACGATGACGACGAAATATATTCGAATTATTTATCCCTGATTTGATATGATGAAAATGATTTTAATAAAAATAAAAATAAATATGAAATTAAAAGTGAAAATGAGGTTTAAAAATATATTTAGTATGTTGATGGAATTGATAAATTATTTTTACTTAATATTAATATTTACAATATAAAAATACTAAAATGCCCTCACCTAAAAACACTCTGCTTCAACCTACATATCAATTTTCCAACCCAGATATCAAAATCTCCATCCAATGAAATAACAATATAAATCAAAAATAAAAATCTGGAGCTCGTGTGATGAGAACACCATCCAACCCAAGTATGTTCATGGTGTCGCACAGTGCGATGAGAACTTGCGCTCTTGTGACCTTATAAACTTCATGAATTGCATTTATTATTGTCGGCTTGAGGTGGAAGAGAAGCTGCCGCATCAACATTATACGGCGAAATCTTGTAAGCGATTGAATGTTGTGGCAACATAGAGGAGAAGGCGGGTCTTTGTTGACGACGTTGAGGTCGCTGGAGGTTGTTGACAGAAGGTCACCGTCATTCAGGTCAGTGGAGGTTGTTGACAAGATTTCGCCGGCGTTCAGGTCACTGGAGGTTGCTGACAAGAGGTCGTCGACATTCAAGTCACTGAGGTTGTTGACGAGGGTCGCTGGCGTTCAAGTTATTGAATGAGAAAGGAAGGATAAATATTGAAACTAGTGAGATAGAATTTGAAATCTGAATATTTTTGATGGAATTCAATTTTACCCATTCTGGTGGAATTGCATTTCATATGAAATTGATTGCAGTCATACTAAACTAAACTTTTTTTTGAATTTTATTTCCATTTTCAATTTTAAGAATACAATTCCATCATATCAAACAGGATCTCAATAGTTTTTAGTATATGAAAAATTCTGGTTTTATAGCCTACCATTCGATTATGGAAAGATCACTAAAAAAAAATATTTTTTCCGTGCCTGAAGTCCCCCCCTCACAATTCTTTTTTTTTTTAGGTAGAGATATATCATTCATAAATTTTTTATGGAAGAAGATCCTCTCCTCATCCCTTCTCTCCTTTTTTTCTTTTCATCCTTGTCTCCACCTTAAGTTAAAAAATAAAGGGCTCAAATTGAATTCTTTTATAAAAAAATATCATAATGTTATATTAAAAAATAAATAAATAATTTTAAAATGTTAAAATGTAATCTGCATAGTTAATAACTGCAATAAATAAATTAATAACAATATACAACTGTAAACTGTAAAGATTAAATTTTAATAGTTTAAATTTATTTTTATTTTTATATGATAGTATGATAATTATTTTATAAAATAAATAAATTTAGACTATTTATTTTATTGTTTAGGGGTGGAAATGAGGATGAGGAGAAAAAAAAAGAAGGGAAGGGATCAGGAGAGGACCCAGGCCCCCCTTTTTTATACAATATTGACATTGATATATTGAATCGTGCAATATTCAAGCGATTCATTCCACAGTGACTTTTAATGGAACTATATCTGAGGGAAGCTATTATTTTTTTCGTTGAAACTTAGGGAACCTGTTCTACTTACAGGGTGATGACGAAAAAGAAAAAACAAAAAAAAAAAAAATCTACCAAACACGTTTTGAAAACAAAAATCGACAGATTGAAGAGTCTTTACACTTTGCAGCGGAACAAGTGCAACAATCATATATATAATATATATGTATAATATTAGCATAAATTTTTATTTTCAATAGGCTTCTTCTTTTCTTTTCTGTTTTCAACCATGTATTGTAAATAATGTATTTTAATTTGTTCAATTATTTAAATATAAAATAAAATACATTGAGCTCTCATTAATTTTATTTTAATGATAGAGACCTCCCATTTTTAGCTAGGGAAAGGAGTGAGGAAGAAGAGTGTGTGAAAGAATATTAGCGGCAACCAAAAAATAGGTGATAAGTGCATATTTTATAATTAAATAGGTATAGATTTTGATTTATATTTAATTATATTTATTAACATTTCATATATATATATATAATTAATATTGATATTTTTCCCTCACTACTTAGTTATAAAATAAAGAAAAAATTCTCTACAAAATATATTCATATATCTTTTTTACTTTTTGTGTGCAGGTAATATTATAAAATATATTAAAGGAAAGAGGAAAATTATATAAAAGAAAAAATGCACTGAAGAGGCAAGAGAGAACACGAGAATTGTTTTGAAAAGAATATAATTTTAAATAACATCAAATCTAAAATAATATTATGATATTTTAAAAGGATTAGGAAATATTAATTGTAAAATATTATAAATAAGAGCTCATAGCCTTATTCAAGAATATTCAATCACTTATTTAAGTATTTTAAGAATTTTTCTCTAAAATATTTGTAGCTCGTAAAAATTTTGAAGACTGAAAGTAAGATTGTTGAGAAGTTATATATATTATCATCATTTTTTCTACTCCTTAATTTTATTCATGATCATTTATCATAATTGAGAATTTTAAAACAGTATTATTTAATTTTATTATATTTCTAATTTACTCACTTAGGACAGAGATGTAGATCAATTGAGAAGTTAGTTTTCATTTTTTTTTTGCTTTGACTCATTACATTTATATTTATGAATATTTTTTAATTATATTTATTTCTACTATTTTTCATATTATTTTATGATTAGTCACCATTTAATCAAATCTATAGATAATCTTGATGGGTTGGGAGGTGAAAAAAGAACATAAATTTAGAAAAATAAATATAAATAATTAGGCTAGAGATAGTTTTAAAAATTTGTGGTGACTTTAACTATAGCATTACAGTTTAATTAGTTGTTTAGTATCATGAAAATAAATTTAATGCTAATTAAAAAGGGACTAGTAATTCGTGAGAATATTAAAATATTTTAAAAATAGTTGTTAGTATAATTGATTAAAGAGTTAACTCAAACAGTAAAAACTAGTAATCTATAGAGTGAATTCTAAATATCAAAATTTCAAGTGATTGTGTTTTTCTTGTCATTATTTTCTTACTTTATTTTTATTCTCTATATTTTCACAAAATAATTCATTTTATTTATTTTTCTCAATCTATTAATTATTTAAATTAATAAAAGAGAAACTTCTTTGTAGATTTAATACCTGAAATACTTCAAATAATTTATTATTATAATCCTGTTTACTTGCCAGAGTGATCATTGGGCAAGTAGCAAGGTTAGGTTTTCATAAACTGCTCCATGTTTTTTTTGTTTTTGGTTCTTTCTTCACAGTCTTTACCTTCTTTATTTTATGGCTATAAATTACAATCTCTCCCTGCTTAATCAACTCTTCATCTAAGGTTTTACCGGCAAAAAAGAGAAAAAATCTTCATCTAGGAATAAGGCTATGCAGGCACACTCATCTATAAAAAAAAAAAAAACATAACAACAACGTTTCATCTGATAATAAATAAGTGATTTTGAGGATGTCTTGAGGATGAATCTAGAGCTGTCCATTAAATCTTCAAATATAGCCCAAATTGGCTTGGTCTCTTGGCTATGTTCTGAATTGCCTTCTTTATACAAGGAAGGGCAAATTGAAATCATTTTGCAAATCATTATTTTATTAAATTTGATCCGGTAAAAAAAGGAATGAAGTCCTTTCATAAAGAAGTCATTTCCCTTCCTAATTAGGTAATCAAGGATTTGCTAGCACTGTTCACTATTTAACTAATGTTTGCCAGTTGTCTCATATCCAAGGTTGTCTCAATGTCTTTCTTCAAGAAGTGAAGCTGACAACCTAACTCTGTCTCATTCCCTTTTTAATTGTCAGGAATGAAGATTTGAATTAAAAAGTACAAATGAAAAGGCCTCAACTTCTGCTAAGTTTTCATTTGACATAGTTCACAAGAGATGCATTCTTTTCTTCGACAGCGATCAACTTTAACAATTCAAAACTTTAATCTTACTTATCTTCACTTGATGCTCTCTTGAATATTAACAGCAATTTTTTAATTTTCCCTTGATCATGCCCTCGTTATATAATTTGCCATGAATAGAAGCTTTTATGGGCTCTTTAGCATAAATCTTCAATCTTGGATGTTCTAAGTTATGATTTAGATTTTTTAATTTCTTATTTTGCTTTTGTTTCTTTTGTTACTACTGCATCTAATTTATTTCATCCAAGCTTAGCATATACTACTGCAAATTATCTTTTTACCTTATTAATATATTTGATCATTTTTTGAAAAAAGATTTCAGCCTCTTCACTCAGTTACAAAGAGTCAAAAGACTGATCATGCACCGCAATCAATAGAAGAAAAGCTTTTATCTAACACAAAAACGCAAAAGTAAAAGAAAACTAATTTAAAAAAAAAGGTTTCTCGAAAGCATATCTTTTTAGAAAAATACACACAACAGCCCCAGGACGCTTTACCAGCTGAGGACAAGCAACTCAACGTTATTCTTCACCAAGGATTAGGTCGTGGAGATGGTTGACCTATGCCTTCTGCATCCTGCATTTTGGGGTAAACGGACTTGTGTATCTCCAGCAACAAGGGTCCTTGTATCGACCTTACCAGACGAGGTTTCTCTTCCTACTGTGCTCCACAAGCCACAAGAAGGGATTGAACAAGAAGCAATGCCACAGGAGGCCAAGCACGATACTGAATGATTGCGATGGCCTGGGATCATCTTGAATTTGTTTTACTTCTAAGAACATATCGGCCTTCTTATCAACGTCCTTTATCCACATTATAAGGCTTATGGCCTTCTGACTTGCCTCTCTCCGAGGGTTGTGGATGCTGACTCCATTTCTCCGAGTGTTCGGCTGTGTGACTACCTGATTTTCCCGTTTTATCTGAAACTTCAAGTGACGGACCTTCCTTGCCTGAACCTTTATCTGGGATCTGGAAAGAACTGCCTATGCCTCTATCTTTTTCTGGGTTTGGTACAGAATGAATTTCAGATCCTCGAGACTTACCAGGGGATGGCAATGGTTGGCGAAATTCAGCTCCTTTTCCTTTTTCTGGGATTGATACAGAATGAACTTTAGGTCCTCGAGAGGCATTGGGGGATGGCAGTGGCTGGTGAAATTCTGATCCTTTTCCTTTTTCTGGGTTTTGTGCAGAATGAGCAGACTCACGCCCTTTATCCTTCATAAAATTTAGTCTGAACGACAGTTTTGTCAGTGGGTTTGCTCCCTGCTGTTAAAGCATTTTAATAAATTAAGTTTATACTGTCAATTCCCAATACAGTAATATGAATATATGATTGGCTTAGTTAAAAGTAAAAACACATCTACAAGCCTCACCTAGTCACTAACTAAAACCCCCGCACATAAAATTGATCTCTTCATCCACCAACTTTTTTACCATGCAATGTTATATAGAGGATGATTATGTAGCAGGGAAAGAAATGACATGGATCATAAAAGCAATTAAGACGCGCGTTTCCTTTTTTTTTTTTTTTGTGGATTGTAGAATTGAGAAACATCAAATATTGGCATTTCTGGTAGATTTTCAAACAAAAACATTGGCATTTCTAGCAGATTATCAAACAAAAACATTGGCATTTCTACTCCCTGCAACAAAAGATAACAGTACGAATTGCACCATTCAAAGTAAAAGTCAATCAATAACCAGAGTATTGTTAAGTTTGTGAAACCAACCTCTTTCTTCGTTCCAAATTTCTTGGTACTATTTTGCGGGGATGAATGCATGGCAAGGATGTTGATTCCAGCTTTCTCTCACCGTCATGTTCTGCTCCAAGTTGACTGTCCTGTTGTACCAAATACCGAAGGTTCAACAAATAATATATTTAGTCCAAATATATATATATATATATATATCAATATCATTCGCAATAATCAAGTGTTGGGCCTCTGGTGTTGGACCAAGCAAAACTTGAGGGATAACAAGTGATTTAATCCTCCTCCTCCTCCTCTGGATAAAAGTCCCAAATCTCCTTTTATCGCATTGCACACCCATCAAGTAAATAAAGCTGGTTCACAAAAAAAAAAAAAAGAAGGCTGAACAGTTGGTTTCTTTGATCCCATTTCTTTTTCCTCTTTAGGTGTTTTGTTTTTTATTCCCCTCTTCTCAACCCTTTCTTTTATCGCATTATAGGCATATTTAGGACAGCAAACAAGACAAGCTGAATTTTAGCATGATCCAGCTCCTTCATATTTATGCATCTACAAAGTTAATCTATATAAAAAAAGATAATGAATTTCTATAAAAATCATTTATTACAAAGTTTTAACAATGCATGGACTTTTGTATTTGTTTATAATCTTTAAAAAGATCATATATAAATACAATATATATATCATATAAAAGAATACTTTATTATGACTCTAGCAGTTTGCAAGTTTAACGAGCTAAATATCAAAATTTCAAACTTGGTTTCTTTCTAAACTAGCTTAATATCGGGATCAAGCTCAATCATTTATAATAAATGAGACAAGCACAATTTGAGATTTCGGCCAGCCAGAGTTTGAATAGCCCAAAAACGGCTCAGTTCATTGCTGAAGAGGAGAGCTATGCAAGAGTTGAAAGTCCTCATCATCCCATCCGTCCAAAACTGACAACTTAATAGCTTCAAACAATTATTTGATTCTCATATTTGCACTAGGATGGGCTGGCAGAGCTCATGGAACAAATTCTTAAGGTGAGATTTACCTTACTTCTTGACTTGCCAAATTGTGGCGTGGCTGTAACTTCAGTATCTGGTTTATTCTTCCTGTCAAACAAAGTTTCTTTTCATGAAATTTAAACAGAAGATCGTAGAAACAAGAAGAATACGCAGTGGTAAGATTGTAAGTAATGATGGGCGTACAGCTTCATTTCATCGTTTGAAATCTGCTCGGGCTTATTACAGAAATTCAATGCAGAATTTTGGTTTGTTTTATGCTGTAGATTAAGCCGTATTCTCATATCATTGACCTTCTTTTCTAAACTGGTGAGGTCTGCTTCTAACAGAGCCAACTCCTCCAAATCTGCCTTAGTCTTCAACAAGTTTGCAGATTAAATTCTAGTCCAAGATAAAAACATTAGGATAAAAAGGTAAAGATAGACCAACCTTGTCATCAATACTGGTCAAACCTGACAAGATTCCTGGAGGTAATTTCAGCCCTGCTTCAAGAGTTGCACAAGAACTCTTCTCCTCTGACAACTGTTCCTGTAGGCTTGCCATCTATAGATAGAAATTTTAGGCAACAAAATCTTGAGAGGGGGGCTGGGGAGAGGGCAACATCTGTCATAACGAACATACATCTTGCTCAAAAGCCAGATGAGGCTCATGTGACGGGCTATTTTGTTTTCGCAGACCATGTTGCAGCTTCAGGTTCTCTTTAACCTTCAACAAGGTGTAAACAAGAAAAATATTTGCCATCAAAGAGTTGTACTACACAAACAAAAACTTCCCAGAAAGAATCAAGTACGTACCTCTTCAGCAAATTTATTTTGCAATTCAGTCTTGGCATCGTCAAACGTCCCAAATCCAACACTACGTATGGTCAGAAAGATAATCAGTGGATTGAGTATCACAGCGTACTTGGCAATGAAAAAGACACAGTTCAAACTACAAAGATATCGCAAGAAACTTAGGGGAAGAAAAACTATCACAGTTTTCACAGTTTACAGATGTCAATTGCTTACTCATCTTCAGCTGAAAATTCAATAGATTCCATAGAAAGGTTCTTCCTTGCCTGGAGATATTATGAAAGATACAATAACGTGGACTTAACGACAAAAAGTAGAAATGACTAGACTCAAAAAACTAGAAAACTAAATGAACACGGCAGTTGAACATCAATTGTTAACCATAAGAACAAGTTAACTCACAGAGGTACGTCCCCATTTAGAATGATGCCGAGAATCACATGCTGGGGCATTGGACATTGTTACTGATTTTTTTATACAAGAAGCATTAGTAGAACTTGTATGATGCACTGTACTTTCATCTGTGAAAACACCTTCAGGTACTCCAGAAGGCTTACTGGACTGCTCTAAACTAGCAGTCATACTCAGAATATCAAGATTTTCTGAGTTCACCTGATTGATTTTAAGATCTTCACTCATATCTGAGGATTTTGGACTCGAATGACTATGGTCCTGCACAATTAAAATAAATGGCATAAGCAGAGAAATTTCACACTTCTTCCACTTCCCAAGCCCCAAAAAAGATAGCTCCATTCACTATAATTCTCTAAAAGAGGAAATTAGTCATACAATCCGTATGATTTTGATGGGCAAGCAGATGATGAATTATGACCAAATGATATTTTATCTAACAAACAAGCATGCAAACGCAGAATCTGTGGCATCAGTTAAGCATTTAGTTTATCAACAGCATCACGGGTAAAGCTAGTGGACAACTCAAAGGCATGGGGTAAAGCTACTCAGGGAAATAAGTATCTTGTTGGAAAAGAAAACACCGATCAAGTAGCAAGCAGAAAATCCCAGGAATCTCATGAAGCTCAAACCTTACTAAAAGTAATCATGATGGGTATTCACTAGAAGGCATCCTTGTCCAACCTTACAATGCCACAGGCAATGTTTCCTGAGAGGAGATACGTTAAAGCTTAAGCCCAATCTAAGTCTAGGAACTACTTAGTTTCATCTTCTCTCTCTCTCTCTCTCTCTCTCTGTTTTTTTTTTTTAAGTTAGCTTTGAATGGTAAACCTCAATCAAGGTGGCCTAAGGGTTGGTCCCTAAGTGCTAGGAGCCTCAAGAATACTTGGAGGTTTCAAGAGGGATACCTCAGTGCATTACCTTTAGGGTTGGCTCCTTAAGGTTGGGGAGTCAAACTTTATTCCCTATTTTTTTTATAATCCAGATCTTGGATCCAAGATAAGGTTATATGCAGCAGGTCTGTTAAAAAAATTGTTCCTCAGAGGCATATGAGAGCACTTTGTGGACCTTGAATGCTCATGAGGCAGGGATTCTCCATTTTTATTCTTGTTTTATGGCCCCTTGGCAATCATTAAGGTACCCTTGAGGCGAATTCAATCTTTGGATGGGACATCAGATCACTGCAGGAAAAATGTTCAACCAAAAGTCCAAAAGAAAGACCATGTGAAAAGTTGTGCAATTTGCTTTCAAAATAGATGGAATGATGGATCTTCTTTCACTTCTGTTTTATTTTCCTTTTGCAGCATTGATTCCATATATGTGAAAAGTTGACTTTTGGCTACCTTTGGTGCTTGATCTTCTCTTTTGAGTCCAAGGTCAATGACCGTTGTCTTGATACATCGTTGTGCAATTTGCTTCTTTTCATATACTTAAATTTAGTTCAACGCAATTTATTATTATTATATAGATTTAGAGATGAGGAGAGAAAGTGATTTGAAAAAGTTTGTGTATTTTACTGATCTACCAATTTTCATATATATAGAGAACATACGAGACAGAGCAAGAAATACGTACACTTAACAACTACTCTGGTTAACCCTAATATACAATAAATACAAAGAATAAATTCTAATTCTCAACACTTCCCCTCAAGTTGGTATGTGTAGATCATGTGCACCACGCTTGTTACAAATGTACTTTCTTCGAGGTCCCTGAAAAGCTTTGGTTAATATGTTTGACAGTTGATCATTGGAGCTAACATACTTCATAACAAGACATCCTAATTGAATGTTTTCTCCACAAAATGAAAATCTATCTCAATATGTTTAGTTATCTCATAAGATACTGTATTTGAGGCTATATGCATTGTAGCTTGATTGTCATAGATCAAGTCTATTTCAGTAATATTCCCATATTTTAATTCCTAAAGAAGCTGTTTTAACTAGATAAGTTTACATGTAACTAAGGCCACAGCACGATATTCAGCTTTAGCACTAGACCTAGCAGCAACATTTTGTTTCTTACTCTTCTAGGAAATTAGATTTCCACTAATAATCATACAATACCCTATAGAGCGTCGATCAATCAGGCATCTAGCCTAGTCCGCATTACTTTACCTAACAATCTGAGTATCATCTTAGGAATCATCCTTATCACTATAACCATAGCCACTTATTTGAGAACTCTCCTTGTCTTCATATAAGAGTCCTTGACTTGAGGATTCCTTGATGTATCTAAGAATCCAAACTACAGCTTCCCAGTAGCTATCACATGGAGATTCTAAGAACTAACTTACCACACTTATAGGGAAAGAGATATTAGGACAAGTAAGAGTAAGGTGATTGAGTTCTCCAACCAATCTCTGGCATCTTTCTAGGTTGCAAGAGGCTCCTCCTATCCTAGTAGAAGTTTGACATTTAGATCCATAGGAGTGACAATTGGTAGCATCCCTGTCTCTTTCAGAATATCAAGAAAATACTTTCATTATGATACAGCAACTCTAGTTGATGATTGAGCTACCTCAATGCCCAAAAAAATACTTGAGCTTATCCAAATCCTTTGTTTGAAAGGATTCCATTAAATGATTTTTGAGTTTAGAGATCCCATCCTAATTATTACTTGTAATAACAAAGTTCAACCAAATAAATGCATTGACTAGATGGTGAGTGATGATAGAACACAGAGTGATCGCAGCACTGCAGATCATTCCATACTCTTGAAGAACCATATTGCACTAAACCAAGCTTGAGGAGATTGTTTTAGCCCATAAAGGGAATTGCACAGTCTACAAACCTTCCTAGACCCCCTTGAACAACAAAACAAGGAGATTGCTCTATATACACCTCTTCCTCTAGGTCACCATGGAGAAAAGCATTTTTAATATCAAGCTAATAAAGAGTCCAATGATTGATTACTCCAATGGCCAAGAGCAAGTGAACAGATGCAATTTTGGCAACTTGTGAAAAAGTGTTGTCATAGTCAAGGCCAAAGATTTGGGTATAGCCCTTAGCAACTAACCGGGCTTTCAATAGATCAATAGAACCATTAAGAGCAAACTTAATGGTAAACATCCATCTGCAACCGATCAATGGCTTTCCAAGAGGTAAAACAACTAGATCCCAAGTATGATTAGTATGGAGATTAGCCATCTCATCAAGCATTGCCTGTCACTGCCTAGGATGGGAAAGTGCCTCATTGACATTCCTAGGAATGATAACGGAATCTAAAGAAGACACAAAAGCAATATATGATGGAGATAAACGATGATAGCTCAAAAAATTATAAATAGGATAGGGATTACAAGTAGAATGTACTTTTATGAAGAGCAATAGGGGCATCATCAAAAGGATGCAGGATCTGAGTAGGAGCCAGTGCTGGCGTGGGGGGGCAAGTCCACAAGTATATCACTAACACCTGCCAAGAAGGAAGGATGAGAGCGACGGTGGTATGTTTGAATGATTGGTGGTTTATTCATAGTGGGTGGATTGAGGTAAGGAAGAGAAAGGACCTCAGAAACAAGTTTAGACTCAAAAGAGAGAAAATAAGGGGAGGTCTCAAAGAAAATGACATCAGCAGAGGTAATGTACTTGTTAATGGTAAGAAAGAAACAATGATAACCTTTTTGGAGCTGAGGGTACCTAAGAAAAACACATGTGATGGCTTTGGCAGCAAGTTTATCTTTGCCAAGGGTTAAATCATGGACAAAGCAAGTACACCTAAAAACACGAGGAGGAAGTGAATAAAAAGGTGCCGAAGGAAAAAATAGAGTAAGGAATCTCATTGTGTAAAATAGAAGAAGGCATGTGATTGATCAAATAACAAGCAGTGAAAATAGCATCGCCCTAAAAACGATGTGGCATTTTAGAATAAAGAACAAGAGTGCGAGTGGTTTCAATAAGATGTCAATTTTTTCTTTTGGCCACACCATTTTGTTGAGGTGTGTATGCACATGAAGATTGATGTAAAATACCCTAAGAAGATAAATAATGGACAGATAGGGTAGAGAAGTACTCCTTTGCATTATCATTCCATAATATAGAAATTGAAATACCAAACAGATTTTTAATTTTAGTACAAAAAGATTGAAACACAAATAGTACTTCTGAATGTTCTTTAATAAAATATAACCAAGCGTAACAGGAATAATCATCAATAAAAGTTACAAAGTATTGAAAACCAAGATTGCTTGTCACATAACTAGGACCCTAAACATTAAAGTAAACAAGTTTAGAAGGAGCATAAGCTCGTTTATTGACACAACTAGGAAACAAAGACGGAGTTTTTTTTTTCAAGTTGACATGACTCACAATCAAGAGATTGAAAGTTGAAAGATTAGGAACCATCTTCTAAAGTTTGGAAAGACAAGGTTGGTCAAGACAATTGTGAATAAGATTTAGTGGGATGGCAATGCAACTGTGAATAAGATTTAGTGGGATGGCAATGCAAGCAGCTACTGATATAATAGATGGAAAATAGTAAAGTCCTTGGGACTAACGCCTGATGCCAATCTTCCGACCTATACTCCAATCCTACAAAATGATAAAGACATCACTATAGATAATCAAACAAAAGAGAGCATGAGTAAGTTGACTAACAGAAATAAGATTGTAACGACACCCAGGAATGTAAAGGATAAATTGTAAATTTATAGAAGGAGAAATGGAAGCTTAGCTGATTCCTTTAATTGCAATAGAAGAACCACTAGATTCAGTAATGGCTGAAAGAGAGAATGAATTAGTAAAGTGACATAAGAGATTCTTATTACTAGACATATAAGAAGAAGCACCTAAGTCAATACCCTTTGGTCCAAGAGAAGAATGAGCAAGACAAGCAACAAAATTACTAGTATGGGCAATAGAGGCAACACAAGATGATTACTTGATGGCTTGGAAATGAAGATACTCTTCATAGTTAGCTCCTTTCAAGGTAATGGAATCAAATGGCTACTCATCAGTAGGAGTGGAGGATGTATGCGAGTACAAGTCAGAAGTCTAAACAACATTGGCAAACTAAGAAGGTCACCTAAAAAGTTTGTAGTAGCGATCTTGAGTATGTAATAACTTGTTACAATAAGTACAGTGAGAGCATTTTTTAGGACCACCATGTCCACGTCCACAATGAGTAGAGTTAAGAGAAATCAGAATAGAAACACTAGCAGTAGATTCGAGAGGAGCCACAGTATTAAGAGACTTAAACAAGATAAGCAGGACACCATCTAGAGCAGGAAGCAATGATCTACTAAGAATTTGGTCCCGAAAATGACTAAGAACAGGACAAAGATTGTATAAAGTAAGAAACACAAATAGTTTGTCCAACTCTTTTTCTTAGACTTCAGAAGTAATAGGCATTAAAGAGCAAAATTCCTAGCAAAGAGACTCATTGCAGCTGACATAAGTAGTATCATCCATGTCCTCTTATTTCAAACTAACAAGAGAGATAATCACATTGTAATAGCAGTGAATATCATTGCTGTATAAAGTGGCAGCCTCACTCCAGACATCAAAGCAAGTCGCAAAAGACAAGTATGAAGGAAGTAACTTGGGATCAATGGAATTCATAGCAAGGAGCATAGTTGAGTATCAATTTTAATCCATGCAGGTTGCTGAGCTTCAAGAATATCAGCTTCTTACTTGGCCAAGTGATCCAAGTAGCCTTGTCCCTTAAACCAAAGAAGAAACAGAAGCAACCCAAGACTTGTAATTTGAAGGTCCATGTAACTTCCCAGTGGTAATAACAGGAGCACCATTGAAAATAGAGGAAATGGCACTGGTCTTGGATTCCGAAGTAGACATCACAAAAGAAACAGCCTTGAAAGAGCATGATGAATGATGAAACATGCAACACAGTGGATAATGGAGAAGCACACCCTGGGATTAAAAGGGGATGACCTTAACGAGCATGACGGAGCAAACAACGGTGAGAATGGACATCAGACGTGCCTTCACATGTCAGGAAGATGTAGCTATATAGAGAAATAAAGGTGGCACATGGGAGTGTGTGCAGCAATGGACATCAACTTTGGACACGATGGTGGCTCACACGTGGTGAATAGAGGTTAAATGGCAATAGGTCAATCAACAGTGATGCATGGATGAACAATATTCTAAAAGAAAATGAAGGGTTGGAATGAAGCACAATCCTAGGAATTTAGAACCATTGCTTTGATACCATATAGATTTAAAGATAAGGAGAGATAGTGATTCAAAAAATGTAGCCAGTATATTTTACTGATCTACCAATTTTCATATATATATATATATATATAATATACAAGACAGAGCAATAAATACTTATACCTAACAACTACTCTGGTTAACCTTGATATACAGTAAATACAAAGAATAAATTCTAATTTTCAACAATTATTATTATTATTATTTACATTTACAGTCCATGCAATCTATTCTATGCTACAAATGAAAAAAAAAGTCACTAACCTCATTATCAGGTACGTGATATTCCTTAGAGTTTCCAGTCTTACTGCTTGCTTCACTAAGAAGATCATCATCTTCATCTGGATCACACTCCTCTACTGATTTGTCTTGTTCATCATCATCATCATCATCATAGGACTCCATATCAGAACCCTCACTCCCAGTTTCACTCTCATCTGACTCAATGTACATATCCGGGGATACTCGAGCTTCCTGCCACTAGAATATGTATAACTTAATAATCCACAAAAATGGCTGTATATACTTTTCAATAAAAAATAATTAGAGAAAGAAGCACACAATTTTGTCAGATAAAGTGACTATACGAACAAAGTACCAAAGCCTTATAAGTCTAAGATTTTTAACCTCATCACAACATAATATTATGATATTGGTTGGCAAACCATATTTCACAATTCCAACGGGGGTTCAATCCCCTCTCCAAACCTAGGTCCTTTGGACCCAGTTTTATTACCAATTTAATATTAGTTCTTGTTTAAAACTCACACAAGGAATATTGTGTTTATCAAAATGTGTATTAAGCCTTCAAAATACTTGCACCATTTAGAACGATTAAATCCTCAAACTTGGAGAAATCTTTATATTATAAATATACAAAAGATCATAGGTCCCCTAGACATTATTTAGAAGAAAAGGGTACCCTCCTTTCAATTGTTAAGAACAAAAGGGCACATAAATGAAAAGCATGGACATATATCAATAAACGTTTGAGCAAAGAACATCTACCACTCAAGACTGATATTCAAGAATTGATATGCATGGCTGCATGCATACATTATGAATGATACCCATGCCTGAAAACCAAGCTACAATTAAACTTACCCCAAATAAGCTGTCATATTCTTCCAATAAAGTTATAACAATTGCTTGAGCATGGTTAGCTGCAGCAGCTGCTTGCAGAAGTTGAACAGAACCATCACCGCCCACATCAAAATCATTTTCAATCTCACATTCCCCAACAAGAAGAGCACGAAGAAGTAAGGGTGCCATGCAAGCTGCTACTGCTGAGGAGCTCATTCGGTTCTCTGCTTTGTGAGAAGCTACAGCTTGCATCATCAATAGTATTCTGGTAGTAGTAAAATGAACAAATTACATCATAGAAAAAGTAAAGTGGAATATACTCCATAGATTTCTGTCATTGACATTAAGAACCATATAAAATGATTAAGAACCATATAATTCATCATTATCATGACAAAAAAACATGTTAGCACTTTCCCAGTTTGGCAAAAAGGTCTCATTTTCACTTGTGACAGATTTACTAAGCGATTAGGAGTTCAGACTTGTTGCTACTTGTGTGGCAAGGAAGATAAAATATTGAAAAGTCAAAGAATCAGTAAACTAGGAGATTACGCCCTTTGATGCCCATCTCATACTCCTCATCTTGTGAAAGCATTTGAAGAAGAATGTCAACTTGGCTCTGAGTCAATATCAGATGAATCTATTTGACAAAAATGATTTTTAGTATATAACAAACTTCTTTCCCTTGGTCTTTCAATTAAAGAAAGGGATTGATGAACTTAGGAAAAGTCTTCATAAAGAATCTCAATTCCCAGGCTATTAATGAAGAGGAGAAGCAAAATCAATCATAACAATACTTCCTATAGTTGAATTGGAATCAAGGGATGTGGAATTGACAGATTCTTTGACTCAAGCTTCAGGGGGACTACTAATCAGAGCTTAGTAGAAAGACTGATAGGCGAAGCGCTTAGTTGTTAGTTGAAAGAAACTAGGCCTAACACCATAGAAGGAGGATTGCTTATATAATATAACCCATATGTAGGCAAAATACCAAATCACATTCCAAGTTTCCAACTATTATTGCATGGTTGATCTGATCCCATTTCCATTAGCTAGTGTGGATGTTTAAGACTCAACTGTTTGGGTCTTGACCATCCTCTTTCCGACAATTTTCAGCAAGTTTCAAGAATATAATTTCAATGCGTGGCTTCTTTGTCGTTTATTGTGTAATTCTTTGGTTCATTCATATAGGTCAATGTCTTGATAGATCAATACGTTTAACAAGGTTATGTTGAGATTTTCGCCCGGGGGGGGGGGGACCCAACATTTCAAGGTCCATTTACTTGAATGATGATCTTTTCAATTTAAAAGATTATCTATCAATGCTTTCGAGTCCAATAGTCCATCAATGCATACACAAACTATCTATGTAGACCACCACTCAAACCTAAAGAAATATTTGGCACATTTGCAATGGATGATTGTGTCAAAAAGGAAAAAAAAGTCAAATAAACATTAACGTAAAGTTATGAAATTAAGTGATAGTAAAAGAGTCATCTTAACCTGTAGCTCTCTCAACAAGATAACAAAATATAGCCATTAAAGTAATTCATACATGTTCACCAAAATGGAGGCAGAAGAGGAAAAGAAAAGGATTTCCTTTTCAGATTAAAATGGGGAAAAAGTGCTTAACCAAATACCTTTGCAACAAACGGCGATTTGGCTCTGGGAAAGTTTCACATATTGCTACACGCATAGCAGAAACCCTTCTAGCTCGTTCAGTTCCTAATAATTGTGCCCATTTGCCAATAGTGAAAAGAAAATCAAACTTTAAAGATCCATAGAATATTGAAAGGAAAAAAACTAACTACTAAGATACAAAAATGCAGTATTCACTCAAACATAATGCTCTAAAATTGCTTTCTATAGTAGCCACAAACAGCAGTCGCAATAGCAGAAAATTTTTACTAGTGCAAAATAAAAGACCATACCAAAAATGGTTTCATTCTAATTCTACACCCAAGAAAAGCCAACCTTATACAACATCTAAACTGTTCATGCACTTTGTGGGTTTGGAAAATGCAGCGTCACCCTCAAGTTTTTCATCAATTTAGAATAGTCACATTAATCTTTATCTTACAGTCACATATTCTAGGTATCTGCCTTCAGTCATATTCTGTTAGCATAGGTTTTGTTCTTCTCCTTATGTGTTGTAAGGTTTCGTCAGGAATCATGCTTACCCTGTGAAAATGAAATTTACCAACAGTTTATATATAATATTTGAGGATAATAAGAGTGTTTCAATTTGATTGACAAATTGTTGGGACAACAATTTTTAATTTCTCATAACGAGGGCGCAATAGAAGAGAAAATGTAGGTACTGAGATTCATTAATATCAAAAGTAAAACAATGAGTATCCAAGATGAGAAATCATAAAATTTGGAATCCCAAAAAGATTGAGGGCCACAGTTCCAACAATTTGGAAGGTAGGATCCGGTATAGTTGCCTAAGGGAACTGCATTTACATAGTGCTGGAAGGATTTTGAGGGAGGAAGGAGGGAAAATTTCCTCCCCTCCCCTCCAAAATTAGAGGATTGGAAGGGAAGAGGAGCATCCGTATTTTACAAAAGCCAAACTATCCTCACTTAATTTATTAATTCTAAATTTTCGTTGGATATCCCTAGAATCACGCATCTCACTTTTCACATCATTATTGCTGTTGCTCTGCATCCTTGTGCATCCAACTTCTGGCCTTTCTCAGCTTCTCCATCTCATTTGACGGAAACCAACAACTTCCCCCCCGGGGGCGGGAATGCCAAGCTAAGAACTTAAATTTGATGGGGGGTATAATATTTAGTTAATTATTATTTCACTCACCTTTTCTTTCAAACCAAACGAGGAACATGAAAACCCCACCACTCCGTTTAACCAAACGAGCCCTTATTTCTGTATTTATCAATCATTTTTTATCAGCATGGTGAATTAACTTAATCATTTGAGGTTCATGGCAAATCAATTTTACACAAAAGAAACTTTTCCTAAGTCCTCTTAGATAAATTCAACTGTTTTCATTTGGATTGTCAAATTATAAGTCTAGATAAAGAAATTAGCATTACAATCTACGAGGAAAAAAGTCTTTTATAATATTTTCCATTAAACCTAACAAGCCCTTGTTGGTATATTTATCAATCATTTTTTCACTAGCGTAGTTTAACTTAATCATTTGAGATTCATGGCCAATCAATTTTACAGAAAAGAAACTTGTTTTCGTAGTCTTCTTAGATAAACTCAAAACTGTTCTCATTGGGATCGTCAAATTATTAACTCTAGATAAAGAAATTAACACTACAATCTACGAGGAAAAAAGATTCTGTTTCAACATCTTACCTACAAACCAAGAAAATGTGTACTTAAGAAATTGGAAGATTGGCTTATCCTGACCTGAATGAATCGTACTAATTTGTGAGCCAAGACATTTAAATCTAAAAAATAGGGATGATAAAATAACTCGTACTCACATAGACATGGAAGAAAAATTATGCAAGTGCAAGATAATGCTCATTTAACAATTCTCATGACACGTGTCAGATGGTTGCTTATAAATCTTGTCATAGAAGAATTTCTTGTCTGAAACTAGCAAATCATACACAAGAGATCCAGGCTGATGAATGATAACTAGAAATATATATAGATCATAAAGCCAAAATAACACTTACGACAAGCTTCTAACAGTGCCTTGCAACAAGATGCGGGGACTGGAGATGATGGCAATTCTCGGAGTAGATGCTGAAAGTATGTTAGTTTAAGAAATTACCTTTCATGTTCATGACCTACAGAAAAAAATCAGCAATGAGGATACCTTAACACAATCAGCAATAACGTGTGCATCCTCTTCTGCAGAAAATTCAACTTTTCCTGCATCCGTATGCCATGCCAAATAACATCAGATTTTATCATTGATAACTCAACACACACAAACACATGTATACTTATAGGTAGATGGGTCCTATGATTGGAACACCAGAGACCTTCATGCAGATCACCCACATTGTTCTGCTTAGAAAGAAGCTCGTGCATGCTAAATATTGAACTAGGGAATCCAACTTTTATAGATGTGGCAAGCAGCATGTAGAGGACTTATTATTATTTTTGCAAATAAGGGTGATTGGCAACTCTTCCAGTTATTCTCTGCTGTGTATTTTACAGGAATTAGCTTAGAGTCGATAGCAACATGCTAGGCTCCAACTTATTCACCTTGAGTAAAAAATAAATTGATGAAGGCTAGTCGAATGATCCTTAAAAATCAGGGAAGCATCTTGGCCAACTAACTAAATATTTAAAATTTAAACCTAAACAGAAACATCTGAAAATTACTTAAAACGGAAAATAGTAAATCAAATTTTTGAGTGAGAAAGGCTAGATATCAGCAACATTTACACTTTATGGATCTCTTTGATTCTTATTGTAGGTTACTGGACAACCATCACAAGAAAGGCCTCAGATTGCAGGTTCTAGGAGTGATTTTCACAATCATATGGCTGAATTTATCAACTGCTTATCTTCATGACTTCATGGTCAATCATCATGGTTGAATTAATCTCATAATGTAGGAAGGAGGCAGAAATGATATTTTAACTTTTTTTTTTATGCTTTAATGCATAGTTATTTTTTTGATACTTTAACGCTTATTATCTTGTTAATCCTTTATCGAGATTTGCGCACAAGCACAAATCCTTGTACGTTTATATAAATTGACATATGTAAAAGGGGAAAATGTTTAATCCGCAACATCCCTCATATTTTCGGAAGCATTTGCAAGAGAAAGCCTTATGGATGATGGAATCTCTTAACAATGTGAAACGTGAGAATAGTCAATAGCACAGTGCAATGATCATAATGAAAGCAAGTTATGACACAAGAAACTGGACAGAAACACATAATTTAGAAACCATGAGAATAAAAGCACTAACCTTGTTCATATTCCTGAACTCGAAATTCAACATCTTCGACATCAGCAGCTTGCCGTAAGATCCCTTCGACCTTGACTCCTATTTTTTTTTTTAATCATGATTAGCCTCATGAAAACTATTAACACGTCCTTTGTAAAAACCCAATGAAGATTCTAAAAACTCCCTACCCCATGACTGTACTACTTCTGCCAAAAAAAACAAGAAGAAGAAGAAGGGGGTGGGGGGGACCAAACCCCATGCCATGATGCTCCTACCGAAAGCAGATGCCCTAAGATTAAACTTTAAAAATGAGAAGCTCGAGATGATAACCACTCAACAACTCAAAAATTTCCATGCGACACTGATTCAGGAGACTCCACTCGGCTGTCTAAATTCAGTCATGGAAGACATGCATGATCTTGTCTAATTCCTTTCTGGTGTCTTTTGCTTTCCATTTTCGGGCCTCAAGGCATCAGGCTTGTCGTCGTTATGAGGGGGGGAAAAGAAGGTTTCCATGAGACAACTTCAAAAAGAAAATATTCAGAAGCTAGGTCTTGCCAAGCTACTTTTAGCTCCAAAAACATCAATTGATATGCCAATATACGTGCTTGACAAGCAGCAGGTGTCTAAGTCATGCAAGGAATCACAAATGTTATTTCATTAACACATCATTATGCTTTTCTTCGTTGGTAGGTAACACTGGCAAATGATATATGAACATAATGAAGTGAAGTGCTCCAGATTAAAATAAATCCAAATGCAGAGAAACAGCAGTGCACTTGAAATAAATTTCCTATTGATGATGCATCATGCACATATTTAAAAAGTGAAAAACATAAGAAATCTATCGTGCATTACAAAACAGTTGCAGGCGAAGAACCATGTACTTTGATCATAAGAATCTGATGTGGACATGCAAGAAAAAGAAGTTGCATTTTATTATGATATATAATTGTAAATAATGAGAGAGCTAGATGAGTTATATGGATTAGGTTGTTAATGACCTTGGCTATATATAGATGGTCTTGGGTAGTTTGTAATCAGGCTTCGGATAATAAGAATATGAGTTTGGTCTCTCTCTCTCTCTCTCTATATATATATATATATTCTTTTCTCCTACTTCTCTATCTTCGTTCCTTCGTCTCTATCTGACATAACATATTATTGTCTAAATCTTTAGTAAATCGCAGAAAATGTAACACATTACCAAATGCAAGACCAGAAATAGTTCATTAAAAAGGAAAAAAGAAAACAGGGACCCACCATGCTCTTCTATGAATCTAAGGCCTTTCTCCAGAAAAGTTGGAGCTCCATCAGCATCTTCCAGAGCAAGTAAAATTGGCTGGCCAATGACCTTAGACCTCATTGGTTCTCTATCTTTCACTATAAAATAAGTGAAGAAAAATAAAAGGCTTGTAATAAATTTGCACAGCATTATTAAGTAAAAGCACCATAACAAAGATTTAACAACTGAGATGCTAGGCTATCAAAATCCACCCCAGTATACAAAAGAGACAATCAGTTGACTAGAAATTTTGAATGAAACTAGGAGGACAATAATTTTTTTCAAGCATTGTATACAGACATTAGTAGTCATAGCATGCATGCCAGAAATTCAATAAGATATCTAAAACACAACTATAAGATGAGCATACACTGGTCCAATGAAATATCCTTTGATTCAGTCTGCTCGTTCTTGATGGCACCATTTTGCCCAGTCACGTTGGCAGCACTTGGTGCTTGTGCCAAAGCATTCTCAAGTGCAGTCTTCCACTCATTTAAATCCTCCGTAGTTTCAGCCTGCAACATTGATAAATAAATCAAGCAGGAGAGGGTAATATAGTTCTTATCATTTCTTACTCAACATTTATCTCAGTTTGTCTAAAGCCATTGAGGAAATTACAGTAGAAAAAGTAATGGCTCCTGCTTTCATTAAATATAATAAAGAAATTATTTTTACCATTTTCTACAAATAAAATTCATCATAAAATAAAATACAATAGAGCATGAACTATAAATTCATAAAGGAAAGGACTTGTCTGAGTAAAAAAAATCTTCAAACAAAAGGAAAAGAGGAATGAATCACCTTGAGTGTAAAAGCTCGTCCATCACGACCATCAGGGAAAAGAACAGTCAAAAGTTTCTTATCTGCTTTGACAACAACACTAAAAAAGTTGACAAAGTAAATTACAGGAGGTCAATAACCTTTACAGATCCTGCTATGGTGAGTATATCAAGACAATTAGAGTGCAAATAATGCCTGGTTTGGAAAAACAAGCTAACCTGCCTGAATTGTTGAGGTCAATGCCGCCAAGTGTCAAATTCACTTCACTTCCCTTCTGAGAAACGGCATTCTGAAAAGTAGAAAAAATAATGAGAAAGCAATAAAAATTAAGAGGGAAAGTATTTTAACGAAGAAAAAAAAACCTGTTAAGGATTCATAGGAAGGTACAACTTCACACTATAAATAACAGGCATGCATTTCAGGGTTGCATGCATGTATGTCCTATGTTAGGTCTCTTTTATTCCAATATTGCTTACCTAGAGAACTTGCGATGCCAAATAAAGATAGTATGCATTTCCGAGCATTATCTAGAAATGAACAAATTTCAAGTCCCATGTAAGACTGCTCATCAAGTTTGTGAGTGCGCGCTCGTGCATGTATAAAAGCAAATTTCTTTATCATACATATAAAACAATAAGGTAATGAAGCTGCAGGTTCAAGCATTATGTGCCTAAGCCCTTTTAGTGATATTGATAATTGATTTCTTCAGCTCAAACCACATAATAAATCCCGAACTTATATTCAGTTTACTATTAAAATTCCAAACATAAAAAATTACGAGTTAATGTACTCGTCATCAAATCAACATGAACATAAGATAATTCTGGTGTGCCATTCCACAGAACGACAATTATAGGCCTAAGATGGTTGTTCTTGATTTGCAAAACATTTAAAAAAGATCCTAGTTGCCAAGGGTGAAAACATAAATAATCATTTAAAAGGAAGGTAAGTTTATCAGAGACAGATAAGATATAGATAATCCCTACCATATAATAGGCAATGCCAAAGTAATCAAGACTTTATATCCAACGACTCTTCCTCGGGTATATATTCGTTTTGCAACTTTTAAGAAAAATGATGATGAAAAGATTAAACACAATGACTTACTGGATCACTTTTGAAGAAAACCAATGAAGTGCGGGTTAAGATAAACCACCTTTTCTTCCAAGATGTCCATCCAATTCCTACACATCAAGAAATACTCATCATGCAATACTATTAAATTCACAAAACTCAATCGTTCTTTCACAGGAAGGATTCTAGCTTTGTTGTTTGTGTAATATATCACAAAAATACATACTACAATTATATGGGAGAAGGATTATAACTCCGACATTGTGGTGTGTAAAGTTCTTCAAGTCCCACTCGTATAATTAGTTCAGATGGAAGTCTTTATTAAAAGGGGAAAAAATTCAAAGATCAAGCATTACAGAGTTTGTCTTCAGTTCATCTTTCTAGTTAGTTATCTGATAATTGCCTGACTTTTTATTGCTGTCCTTTAAAAATTCCATCGGAGGCTTCTGGATGGGTACATAAAGCAATAATTATCAATCTACAGTGTGTGAGAGTACATTAACATGCAGGACATCCCAATGACCATGAAAAAGGGAAGAAAATTATCACACTTCTCTCTTGGCTTTTACGTATTCAGGACAATCAATAATAAAATATGTATGAATATTATATACACTTTTGTCTGTTGATGAATTTCTAAGTTTTACGAGAGCAAATTCATGAGCTTGTGCAGTGAAACTCACCTTTTGAGGATAATAAAAGTGGTCCGCTCTTGAAAATCTGCAGTACACACATGAAATCAAAGGGATTTGAGCTGACAGGTGAGAGAACCCACAGCACATGAAGCGAACTCTAGTAAAGGAAATTGTTAAATAGTAAAGATAAAAATATATGATATATATGCATTCACTCCACTTAAAACATCTAAATTTAAGAGTGACCCTAAAAGTTGTGACTTGCATGTTTTTCATCATCTCAGTAACCCCAAAAATACCCAGAGGCATCAACAGTAAAAAATTTCATCCATTACATGATCATATATAGAGTTTGGAAGCAACTGAATGGCCAAGTGATCGGCCCTAAGAATAGAATGATGATCCATATTGTTGGCACGTAAACTGGCAACAGTCCCATAGATCCAGATTCATGTTGAAAGTAGCAAAAAAAAAGTTACCGTGTTGCTGCCACAAGAATGCAACTGATCTGGCTTTCCAGGCTGAGGAGAGGGATCAGGTACCCCACCATCTCCCTGCAACACACAAAGCCAGATGACTCACACCATCATTCATTCTGTATAATATCTATATTATGACACTGATCCCTCTTTCTGAATCGATACATTCTAGATACCACGTATCAGCGAGGAAAATAAACTAAGAAAAAAGGAATGAAAAAAGAAGCTCGCCATTTTCATTCGTATCAAGAGAAAATTGCCAGACATTTACCTGAAATACGTCTGCATTTTTGGTAGTCATATCTGTGAGACAAAATGTCAGAATCATAACCCAGGCAATTAGCCAGACGTCACCATATTTAATCAACAAACCCCTGCACCTAAGTTGATCAAAATGTCAAAGAAGTTCAACAATCTTATATGAAAACATAACATTCAATCGAGGAAAAAAGAATTAGAGTCGCTGATGGATCTGCATTGATTGGACCGTACCTCTCCAGCGAAAAAATAAATGAGTAATTATTGAAGTTGAAGGAGAGAGCAGAAATAAAAAATGACGGTTTGTTTGGGGGAAAGGAAGGAAAGCGCAACTGAAGATAGTATGTCTGGCTTAGTGGGTGGTCAGTGGTCACTCAAGAGCCCAATGAGAGCGGGTCTCCTTCAACTCTTCGGCACCTGCACGTGTCTACCCTCCAAAACGATCAACCGTGTTGGAGGGAAAATTGTGGACGATGCTCAATCTTGAAACACAATGGTCTTTCCGTAATTTCGTTCATTCTCTGTTTTCAAACGTCTCCTTTTCTTGCTAATAAAAATGTAACTTGTTTTAGGTGCGTTAATTTAATTTTATTTAAGCATTTTTTCATTAATTAATAGTAAATTGATTGTAGTCAATGGGAGCACATTTTTATTCTATTTTTGATGTTGAAGAAATAGAAATAATCTTAATAAAATTGTAAGATAGAATTAAAATTTAGTATAAAATTAAATGACGAATTTTTTTTGCCATTGATGTAATATTCACGGCACAAGCTGGTTGGGAAAAAAAATCATGGCTTAATTCCTGCTTTTTGATTTTCACAATTAAAGAAAATTAAATTATATTTATATCACAAGCATGTACTTACTTTTTGGCTGTTGATTTATATATATATATATATATATATATATATAAATGGACAATTTTAATTAATCTAAAGAGTCTAAGTGCATGGATAAGAAAAGGCATAAAAATTCTCAAAAGGAAATTGACCCAAGAAATAATGAAAAATAAATTTTTTTGAAAATGACAGCCACAATGATAAAAATAGCAGAGAGATGTTCTTTTCTTGAAAAGACATCAGGGCAGATGAGGTTCTTTCAATGGCTCTGGATAAACAGACTTAAGTTCCTATTGCGAGGTTGCATTCTTTGAAGAAATGATTCAGTGGAGAACAATTTTGAAAGTCGCAAGAGTTGGGTTGTGGATTTTGCTGGAATGAGAAATCTACTTAAAACTTTGGAAGGATGACCCTCTGAAGATGTGATGAAGATTGACCAATTTTGTTCATGTTTCTTTTTGAAAATTTGTACAATCTAATCAAATGTTGTTGGAAAAGCTAGGATAGAAAGATTCATAATGGCGAGCAGAGATGAGCTGATAATGGGTCATTCTGTTTAGGGTTGGTGTTAAAACAAGTAGCGATGAAACTGTAAATAGAGCGGATAGTGTTGATAGAATTAGGGGGGTTAGGTGAGGTGGTGGACTTTGATTTGGAATGAATGACGTCATTTCTTTTAGACCAGATTTTATGAGCAATAATGATGATGAAGTTCAGCATATTATAACGAGGAGAGACAAAGGGAGAATTTGCATGTCCCACACCAAATAGCTCTAGTAAAAGGGGCGATGGATGAAGAATCAGTGTTCTAAAATGATGATGGTTGAAGATATCTTTAAAAGGAAATAGAATGAATTTGGTTGGAAGACAGAGTTTCCAAAGGTGTTTCCAATTCATGTTGACAGAAGATGGATTTGGATGGGAGATATTCAGAGTTGTTAAAGCTTTCTTAACAAAAAATCACCATTATGATCCAGCTTCCAAACAACGCGGTATTGGTCGCTGAAAAAGGAGGAAGGGGTTTTTATGATGGAATTAACATGATCCTCATCATAGAGATAAGGATTTTTTCACAATTCTAAAAGTAAGTATTATGCCACATAAGATTGCTAACAATGTCATTTTGATTGATAGAGCTTCGCTTGTCTGCATGCATGGGCCACTAAAACGAGTAGTTGATTGGGATTGATTAACTGTCTCCAACCTTTCAAGAAAGATTATCAACAGGGAGGCTTTTCAATTTGAGAATACCTTTCCACATCCAAGATGCATTTGGAGCGAGACTTGAGGAGATGAATGGATCCAGAGTCAACATATTTGATTTTAAGAGTGCTTCCAAGAAGGGAGGATGGTGTAGTAAGGACATGTGAGATCTGCTTAGCAAGAAGAGAGTCATTAACATGAATAATTTGATGAATAGAGACCATCGATATTGGAGTCATTGCAAATGATATCCCATTTTGCTAAATGCATTAAGAGACTATCAATTTTTTTACAAACATAGATTGGGAGCTTGATGTCAGATAAGTGGTAAATACGAGAGTGGGATAAAACAAACTTGATGAGAGTGAGCCAAGAGGTTTGAGAAAAAGCTTTAATTTTCCAATCTTCAAGCTTGTTCTCAATTTTTTAAAGTATTGTCATAAACAAGCTTTTTACTTTTCTCCATATCAATCTAAATTTCCAAATATTTCCTTAGATTGTTGTAGAAGCGGATGTTGAAGATTTTAGAGATTGATACCTTATCCTGGTTTCAAATAAAAGGGTTGAACACTAATTTAGATGTAGTCTTATTAATGCTTTGCCCTAACCACTTGCAGAAGGTATCTAGGACAAATTGAACTTCCAGAGTAGATTCGTAAGTTCCTTAAAAGAAAAGGATGGTATCATTTGCATACATGAGGTGAGAGATAGGAGAAGCATTTCAACAAATATTGATACCTTTCCATGAACCAGATGTTTCCTCTTGAGAAATGAGTTGTGAGAGAACACTAGCCACTGAAATGTACAGGTATGGATAAAGAACGTCTCCTTATATGATTCCTCTGGCTGGATGAACAAGAGAGGAGGGTGATCCATTTATTAGGACTTGATAAGAAACAATACCTATACATTGTCGAATAATATTAACCCATTTTAGAGGAAAGTTCATTTTGATGAGGATGGCCTCATGAAGTTCCATGAGAGCTTGTCAAAAGCTTTAGCAAAATCTACCTTGAGAGTATACCGCTTAGAGGAGGGTTTTTCTTACATGGTGAATTTGATACAGAATTTCAGTAGCAACAAGGATGTTGTTAAAGATCAGTCTTCCTTGTAGGAAAGCATATTCATTATGATCAATAAGGTCATGAAGAACTCCTTTTAACTTATTACACAATATCTTAGAGATGATTTTGTAAGCCATGTTACAAAGGCTGATAGGTCTCAAATCCCTAAAAGTTTAGGTCAATTTGCCTTTAGGGATTAAGGTAATGAAGGATTTGTTAAGTCCTCTGAGAAGGAATTTGGAGTTCTAAAAGAAGGAGATAACAAGGATAACATCAACTTTGATAATAGGCCATAATTTTTGAAAAAAAATCATATATGAAAGCCATATAGACCTTGAGCCTTATTTTTGGGAAGTTCAAAAATTGCAGTCTTGATCTCAAGCTCAGAAAGGGGCGTTAAAAGAAAACTGATGTTAGCATGGGAGAGACAGGGCAGATGAATATTGCTAATTTCATATAGTGGTTGGGATATTCGCAAATCATATGTGGAGGAGAAAATATCATTAAAATAGGAGCTTTCATTAAGGATATTTCATCTTGATCTTCTGTCCATTCACCATTATCCTTTTTTAGGCATTGAATGGAATTTCTAGCCTTCCTCTTATTGATTATAGCGTGGAAATATTTGGAATTTCTTTCTCCTTGAGTAATCCAGTTCATGTGAGCTCTTTGTGTAAGAAGGTTGTTCTCACAATTATATAAAAATTCAAGATCATGTTTCAAAGAGTCAATAAAATGACCTAGATGAGAGGAGGAAAGGCAAGCCAATTTGTTTTCAAGATCCCAAATTATGTGATGAATATTCCCAATTGAATTTCTACTCTAAGATTTTAGACAAGTTAGGGTGTTAGCTAGTTTTTTACAAAGACAAAAGGCTAGGGAGCCAAAGGTGGGTTGATGCTAGTTGTTTTGAATAATAGCTGAGCATTTAGAAAAGTTTAACAAAAGGGCTTAAATCTGTTGGGCCTTTTTTTTTAATAGTTTTGAATGGGCTTGTTAAGAGAAAGATGGGGGTGTCGTAGGAAGCTATGATGGGCAATGTAGAGAGATTGGTGTGAGGGAAAGAAGTAGGCTAAAAAGAGTTGATAAAGGCATGGTCGAGGTGTGTAACATCCCAAAAAATTATTCTCTTGATTAATTAAGCTAATAAAAGATAAATTTAAATATAAATGGATTTGAAAATAGTTAGAGCTATTGGGTTTGGTTTTACCTTTTAGATTATGTTCAAAAGTAACTTGGATCACCTAAACTCAAATTAGAGAGAAAAGAAATTAGATTTTTGGCCCACTACATTATGTTGCAGTATAAAAATTTATGCTATAGCATAATTATAAAATTAGTTTCTTTAAAAATGTGAAAAATGGTCTGAAACAAGGAAAGAAGATTAGAAACAAAAGGAGGGCAATGAAGTGAGTTGTTCCTCTACTAAGGCATCAACTCTTGGGCATTTTAAAAGTGATTGGAGCTTGGTTTCACCTAGGTATGTCTTCTTTATCTCTCCTTCTTTCTCTCGACACATTTTAAAAGTGAGATTTGAAGTTAGGAGATGATGAATTTTTGAACTTAAAGCTATGGGTCAGAATTCATTGATCTAAATGGGACTAATGAGAGTTATTTAAGTTATTTGAGCCTAGATATGGTGGCTTTATGCATCTAGAGAGTGGGCTTCAATTGTGGACGAAATTATACCCTAAAATGCCATAAATAGTGGTGCTTAAGGTAGATGGCTACCATTAATGTTGATTAAGAATTGGGTTAGTGTTAGTTGGAGCTAATGAGAGTTAATAAACCTTATATGATGATTAAGCTCAATAGTTGAGAGCTTTGGATTATTAAAATATTGAAACTTGAGAGTTGAAAGTTAGTAATTTATGACATTGATGATGATTTTGGGTTGTTAGATTATATATTAGTGATTATTTAAGTTGTTGAGAGCTAAATGAAATTAATGGGAGTTAAAGAACTCATTAGATGTGAGGTTGATTTTATAGTTGAAAATTTGGTTATTAAAGTATGAAATTAATTGTTGGATATGGTGATTTTAATGATTGACACTGATAGGTATTAATGTAATTGTAGACTATCCTCACAAAGCATCGATGAGCTTGAATTTAGCTTGAAAAGCAAATTGTGATTGAGGGATAACCTTTGACCTCTCAAAGGTTTGAGATAATTGGGGGAAATCTAGTTTATATAGTTAAATATTGATGGATTCTTATTGAAATGGATGATTTGAAACATGTTTTCTATTTTAAACTCTTGATGCAAAATTGACATATTTGAGAATGT